AAAGCAATTAAACATGCTTGTTTTCATCGAAATTAAGTTTTATTATGGTTCGCAGGAGGTGCAAATGTCAAACGTTGTTCATAAAATTTAATCATCTATTATTAAAATATAATTAGAAATAAGTATACAAAAGACAAATCGTATTTTTAAGAGAATCAGATGATACCTTCTGGGGACATCTTGCGTTGGCATCTTTCGCTGGATGTCTGGATGTTTCCCCATTTTTCCTAAATATTATTTAAGTGTTCATTATTATTATTTGAAAAAGATTAATACCATTGAAAAAAGAATACTATTCGTTATTAACCAAATAAATAAATACGCATACCATTTTAGATATACCAATAATTCACCGTTTTTATCATCACGTGTGACAGTCTCAACTGCAACAACCTGATTTTCCCAATCTTCATCAAACTCATCTTCTTCCATCTTAGTTCTCGGCGATTTTGTTTTCTTTGAACTACGCTGTCTTTTAGAATCTTGCTTCATAACAGGCGATGATGGTTGTGCGGCCCTCTTCCTTCCCTTCGATTTTGATGTTGATGCGACTTCTTCCTCCTCTCTTTTCTTTGACCAATATTCCTCAACAAGATCATCCGCGTAGCTTTCATTTTTAGAAATTGAAATAAGTCAAATTAAATGCTGTAAATCGCAGTAATTACATTTATATTATCAGTGATTCATACACATTAGATTCAGCTTCCCAAGTACAGTCGTCTTCGCCAAAACCTTTTTTTTCAAAACAAAATAAATAAAATAAAAATTATAATATTGTAAAAAAAAATTATAAAATATCATTCAATCAATTACCTTTCCATTTGATTAGGTAGTATTTAACACCCTAAAAGTAATCAATCAAATTGTTGAGAATTCTAAAATTGATTGATTACGGTAAATCGTAAGCTAATAGATATATACTCTTTTTTCTTTATGTTGAAGAACTTCTTCAACTTCATAGATTTCTTCTTCTTCTTTATCCTCATCCTCATCTTTATCGCCTTCTTTCTTATTCTCACCATTGGCAGGTTCTTGTTCCGAAGTTTCTTCAGGTTGTTTCTGAGTTTGGTCTTTTTCTTCACCAACCTTTTGATCCGCTTTATCCGCAGTTGCTAAGTTAGTATTTTTGTCGACGTTATTTGCAGCACTACTTTCTACACCGGTAGCACCACTTTCCTCTCCGTCATAGTTCAAGAACTGGTCTACCATTTCTTCCTCAGATTTTTCAGATTTTCGTGTCATTTGTTGACCAATTTTTTTTTAATTATTCCTTTTAAGAACAAAACTTTAACACGAGGGTTGTTTACAGCAGAAACTATACTCGTTTGCCACTAAAGTGTCAGTGCCTTTAGTGAGAATCGATATATTATGGCGATTTTATTACAGTCACTTAAACCAAAGATCCGGGCAAGAAAATTACCTTCAAGACAAAGAAAAACAGCGAGCGGGCAGCAATAAATAAGAAATACTGACAAAAAGTTAATATAGTCAGCTTTCTTTGATTAATTTAGTGCCTTTAGTAGCTGCAGTCGTGGAGAATCAGGGGGAGACTAATAAGTAAACAAACGTGAGATCATATTAAAAGAGTAATTAATAAGACCACATGATCACATGATATAGTCACATATATTGTCACTTTCTATCTACTCCACTATCATGTCACATATCTTTATTGTACTACTGCATACAATGCCGGAGGCCTTGATGCTTGCGTGACGAATAGCATAGATTAGACTTTTTAAAATATTATTTATATACGTATGTGATGGTTAATGCACTCAATTTTCATCAATAATGTAAAGTTTCAACAAGGTTTCAACATTTTGTTAATCTAAACGATTTGATGAGATTTGACGGAAAATCCAACTGTTTCCAATCCTAACAATCTTATGTAGCCTAAAAGGAAGTAAAGCAGATGCCACCTTCTTTTTTAGCAAATAAAAATAATGATATTTTTTCTTAATTTTGGACCTAGTTTGCTTTGTCTGTACCCCAGTTGCCAAGAAGAACCCTTGATCTAACTGCAGAACTGGAACTTATATTACCCAAATAAATATTTGTGCTACACCGAAGTGCAGAAATTATAGTAACGATAATATCGATATGTCATCCCTATCAAACGTGACATACCTGTAATAATATTGATATAATTAAATTAGCTTTTTA